ATACTGCACAGCTCTCTCTGAAATGCTGTTATCAGTTTATAACTCACACAGTCTCTCAGTTCAGTATGCACTGTATATATACAGTTCTGTGTACTGAGACTGTATTAATCATTATAATCTGATATGATACTCACTTTTCACAGACTATGTTTTATTTGAGAGAAGAAAGAAAAGATACAACTATTATTTTATTAAGAAGAGAATGAATAATTAGTATTATTAAATATAATTTAATTCATCTGTATTTAAAATTTAATTAGTCTATACTCTTTAATTTGAGAGTTTCTAAGAGTATTTTAATAGTTTTTATATTAGCTTAAACTTAGTGATAAGTTGAAGAAGAAGAGAAAAGAGAGAAGAAAGAAATAAGAATAACTTATCTTTATAATATAAAAATAGAGAATTGCTGTAATTATTCTTTCTAGTAATAAAGATCTGTTTTCTGCGTATATCTCTGATATAGATTATATAATAACTGTATACAAAGAATATCAATAGTATATGTATTGAATAAAGATAATATTACTATATAACACTGTAGCTGTTTCTATATATCTCTGAAAGCTGTTAATAGTTTCTTTATCTCTTTATATTTAATAAGTTAATAATATATTCTGATGCACTTCTTCTTTCATTATCATTATTATTATTATTATTATTATTATTATTATCACTATCATTATCATTATTATTATTATTATTATTATTATCATATCATTACTAGCTGTCTTCTCTGCCTTCACTTCTTCTCAATACTTATTAAAACTAATTATGTTATCTCTCTTCAAATATTCTGTGATTCTGCAGATCATCAAGGCGCATGAGTACTATCACAGATTGAAGAGAGAAAAGAACAAGATATTTAAACATAAGAAGACAGATTGTAAGACATACTATAATGCCTTGAAGAGACTCTGTAAGAGAGTAAAATAATAATAATTTTAAGTAACACTTCTGATAGATTTAAACTGAACTAAGTATAGAAATAATACAGATAATACTATCTATGAGAGATTGAAAAAGAAGATAGTGAAGAGTCTTATACAGTAGTAATAAGATCAGAAGAAGTTCTGAGAATGATTTGAGATCAAGATAAAGAGAGAGAGAGAGAAGAAGAGTATTACTATAAATAAACAGTGATAGAAGAAGATTGAGAAGATATTAAAGTGAGAGATAAAGAAGTCAAAATTAATAAGTTTTTTATTAAGAGATAATGATTTTTAATAACACTTCTATTCTCTAATTGATTAATAGAAGCTGATAAAGAAGAAGAGAATTAAGGTCTTATTCAGATCTTGAATATACTTTATAAGTCCAGAATATGAGAAGACAGCTCTGCTCTCTGTATATGTCAATCTGCTTATCCCTGAGTTGAAACCTGAGACAGCAGATCAGAAAATGCAGGATTTTGAGATGTAGATTAATCTGACTGAGAGAAAGCAGTGAGAACTCTTCTCTGAGAAGACAGTGAAGAGAGATTTTAAGATAATTATCATCTCAGATGAGAAGAAGGAGAAGAAGAATGAGAATAAGAAGTCAATTATAAAGAGTAATGAGAAGAAGAAAGAGAAGAAAGATAATAAGTAGAAAAAGTTTTTTTCTTTTTATATTAATTAGTTATAAGTTTATAACTATTAGTTAATAATTAAAATTAATTTTAAGTTTTCAAAAATTATTATACAAGTTGTAATCAATTATCAATATCAGAAATAATATATATATATATTTTCAACTATTATATCACTATAATGTATAAGTATTAACATTTTTTCAATATTAATATTTATAATATTAATATATTTTTAATGATATTATCTGATAATATAATTTAATAACACTCTCTTTTATAATATTAATATATTTCAAGAAATATAACAGAGATTAATCAAGATTATTTATTTACTTTTATATATTAATAATATTTAATCTGAGTTAGTACTAAAATTATAACTAAGCTAAGAAAGAAGATTATTTTCTCTTATATTAATTCTTCTTATATATATCAGTGATTAGTTATTAAAAATAAATTATTATCTTTCTTAAATTATTAATATATCTTCTGAATTCACTTTTTTCATTTCTTTTACTTTTATTGAAGATTTATAAACTCTTCAAGAAATCACTATAAATTATAAAGTCTATATTATTTATAATTCAATACAGAATACTCTTTTTTAATTATAATAAATAATTACTTCATTCCTCATCTCTGATTTCAGGTTATAAAATTTATGAAAAACTCAATATAAACACTGAGATGAACTATGAAATAATTATTAATAGATTGTATTATAGATTACTAAAGAGTTATCTCTCTATTATAATTACTATAACTTCATTCAGAAACATTTATTATAAACTAATCATAGCTTTAAAGAAATTTTCTAATATCTAAAGTTATCAGAATGCAGATAATAAAAGAAAAATAATTAGAAAATTACTATTAAGCTGATAAGTTACTTTATTAGATAATAATTTTTAATAATACTAACTTTCTAATTTGAAGAAAATTATATGAAAATAATTATGTATCAGTACTCTGATTTTATAACTCTTATCTAATAACTTCTGTAAATAATTACTTTGTATATATATATCTCTGAATCTTTCTCTTTAATTAATTAAAAATTCTGAATTCTGAATACTTCTTTAAATACTTAATTCAAATCTTCATATTTCACATCAATTCTGTCTTTAATTTAATCTTGAAATATACTATAAAGTTAATATATAATATCTAGAATTAGAGTTGAAGAATTATCAAAGAGTATCTCTTATAATAAATATATAAACTAGTATAAATAATCTTATATTTATAAGAGTTATATGTTATTACATTAATAAGAGCTGAACTTATTAAAAAACATTAATTGAATTTAAATCATTGATCAGTAGTTATACTGAGAATTATATAATAGAGATATTAATAACTATAATTAAAAATAACTATTAAGATATTAATCTCAGTCTTCTTATAATTATAACTAATAATACTGTGAATAATTATACTATAATAAAGAGCTTAAAGTAAAAATTAGTTTTATATTTCTGAAATAATAAATAAGATTATATTCTTTATATTATTTATATAATTTAACTTATAATATAAATACTGATAAAGAATCTTAAAATTAAGCTAAAGAATAATAAAATAGCTAATTCTTAAGATAAGAATAAGATGAAAATAATTACTTAAATAACTTTTATATTTATTTTATAAAAGATAATATTTTTTAATAATACTTTTTAATATTGTTTTTTAATAATACTTTTTATAATACTACTATTAATTTTAAATATGATTGACTAATAATTTAAATATTATAGATTTAAAATATTATTAATATAATTTATATCTTCTCTAAATAATAATAATAATTTCATAATATTTAATAAATAAATAAATCAGTTATATCACTGAATATGATACAGAATATTAGAATATAGTAAAGTTTAATATATAAAATAACTATTCAGACTCTTTAATTATATTAAATAATTAATCATTGAGTGTAATACTCTGATTAAAAAAAGATTCAGATATTAAAACTTTCTAATATAAAGTAAACTCAGTTAAAATATATAATTGATTTACTGTTTCAGTTTTATAAGATAATAAAGATAAGTCTTAATTACTTATATATTAATACTGTAATCAGTCTGATAAATATATAACAGTTTATTTACTTATCTTAAGAAGTAATTAAATCACTTAAAAAGAAATTCAGTCTGAGATAATACTATAGTACAGACTATTATTACTATAAGAGATAAACTAGTATATTATTATAGTAAAACTGAATAATCTTTTACAGAGTATTATACTATAACAGCTCTATTAGATCTCTTCTATTAAGTTAATATCTACACTTCTTAAGATTGAATAGAGAAGAAATGAGACTTATATATTAAATTAATCTAAAACTACTATAATATTAACTATCAGAGATTTGAATAAATAGATATTAAAAATATAAAAATAGTGAAATATAATTTTCTAGTAAGTAATAATCTTTAATAACACTTTATATTATATAGAACTATAATACTAACTTTGAAACAGAACTTATATATATTAATTATAATTAAAAATCAGATAAAACTATATACTTATAAAACTGAATTTAATCACTATCTTCAAGATAATTTAATAAATTTATATATCAAATTAATTCTAGAGTTATGAAAAATTATTAAAAATATATATTTAACTATTATACTGATAATATATGATATTCTGATAATTTTATTAATAGAGATAAGAATGAAGTAAAAGTTTAACTTAAGTTAAGATATTTATTACTATTACTGAGAATAATTATAAGAAGAAATAATTAAGAAACTTATAATTATAAAATATAGAATTATTAGATAGTTTAATATTTTTAATTATAGTATATTAAAGAAGTATAGTTTTTATAAGAAGATAAAGAATAAACTTATATAAGAATGTATTTAGTTATTTTATAAGTATTATTAATAATTATTATTAAATTCTGATTATATAAGTAATCACTGAATAAACTGAATAAGACTGAATTTAATCTTCAATCTCAGTTATATTCTAATTTTGAAAGAATCATTATTTTTTACAGTTTATTCTGAGAAATTACTCTCATTTCACTATTCTTGAATTAAATCTAGTCATTTTTCATATCATTTCTCTCAGAAATGGTTCATTTTCAGATTTTTTTGAGACTTAGTCCTGGTGAGACTCACATCAAGAAATGTATGAGACCAGACTAAATGAGACCAAATGTGAAATTTATGATCCCGGCGGCCAGTCTAGTTATATAGATAGATAATAGCTATACTGAATATTAATATAATTCTATGTTAATTCTATGTATTCTGCTTTATAATGAAAAACACACTTAAACATGAGAATGTCATAGATTCCCTCAATGAATGTTAGAATGCCACTAAAATATTAAAGTGGCACTAATGAAAACACTGGGGCATACCTGTGTACAAGTAATCATCAACAATTGCTCTGAGCACATGACTTGGTGATAAAAGTAGTTTAACTAGTGTCATGCCGGATTACTTAGGCAATATGCTGCACAGGGTCTGAGCGTGCTGAGATAAGTCAAAGCTTTCCATTCAAGCTAACCTCACGAGCGTACGCATATGATCACGCTTAAAGAGAGCTTCGACGCAGGCGGTTGTGGATAGTGCACAGTTTATAGAGAAGTAATGGCATGCTATTCCAGCATTCCTTACCTTTGAAAGTGATACTGTGAGCGGAGTGCTCACTCATTCGGAACAGCCCAAATCAGCCGCTCAGCAAGCAGCTTTTAATTTTTGCATAGTTACGACGACAACCTAAGGTAGGCCCTAGCAACGCAAGCCAGCATGAGAGTCTTGCTCCCTCGCCTGCCTGAAGAACTGGCCGTGACTATCTCACGCCAATGGCCATGGAGAGAGCTCCAAATCCGACAACTCGCGTGCCTGTTAAGTGTTAGTCTCCGTCTACGAACAAAATAAAAATGCCACCTAGTCCTAGACTGAACAGCTAACTAGCTCTGTTTGTATATCTCATAGCCCGATCTTCCATCTCCGCCAGCCATCATAGTCCACGGTCCCCGGGGTTCGGGGAAGTCAAGCATCCTAAACGCATTGCTAACTGCGTATAACGAACTTCCGCCAGTGGGTACGCGATCTAGTAGTGACAGCGAAGAGTTAGATGTTAATGGAGATGGAGATGGAAGCCGCTGCGCTATACTACCTTACGCCGTCGTGAAGTGCGCGGAGTGTATAACCGTGCGACATCTACTGGGCAGAATTGTGGCAGTTGTTATATCAGGCGCATGTGCGTCAGCTTCGTTCCCGGACGAGGATGCGCGGCGGCGTTTTACGGAAGGTATCCGCGCCAGAGCTAGGTGTGACCATATCAGTTCGCTGCCGGGCGTGCTCAGGGACGTTTTGGATAGCGCTGGGTGTGAAAAATTCGTCCTAGTTATGGATGGTGTGGATGGTTTAAGGGAAGGGGGCCAGATGCTCTTTGCTGCTCTGGGGAGATTGGCTGAATTGGTATGTTAGCACAGTGTACCTTTTTTTTTTTTTGCCGTGAATGATTTTTCCTCACACTCGTTGTAGGTCCCATCAATATGTGTGGTATTCGTCATGAGATCTTCTCCACGACCACTTTTGCTGCAAGTTGCCGGAATTCCCCATATTTATCATCCCCCATATTCGCGGAACGAGGCCATTTCGATACTTGCGGCCTCCCAGCTACCTAAATTACCCGGATTACCTACAGATACCGCAATGAGAATATATCCACCTTTCATATCAACTGTCTATGACTCTCTCATTGGACCAACCGCCAGTACCATTCCAATTTTCCAATCTGCGTGCGAGAAACTCTGGCCGCGGTTTGTTTCTCCAATAACCAACAACGAAAAGCCTCCGGGATTGAACCCCAGTGCTCAGTGGGACTTTTCTCGACTCCTTGTTAGAAATAGGGCTTTATTCCAACACCAGGGTGAAGAGGTGCTGGTCCATCGCATCACTACGAATGAAACACTTATTTTGGCAAACAACGCAACAACTGTTGCTTCGTCTGTCCCCCTCTCATCATCTCCATTTCCCTCGCTCCCCTACCTCCCAACTTTAGTCCTCACCTCAGCTTTCCTGGCAGCCCACATCCCGCCCCGGCTCGACACGATCTTCTTCTCGAAATTCTCCTCGTCCTCTCTTTCCGCCCGCAACAAGCGTGCCCACCATCGCAGACGCCTAAAAGTTCTCTCCCAAGCACAAGCCCAAGAGCAAGACCTAGACACCGCAGAAGCCGCAGCAGCTACGCCGTCAAAATCCCCGGGCGCCAGAAGACGTAAATCAAAACATACAAAGATCACAAAATCAGCCCTCTCCTCCGCGCTAGCATCATCATCCTCATCCGGCAATACTGGCGCAGGTTTCATAAACCCGCGACCGTTCCCCCTCGAACGCCTCCTCGCCATCTACCGCGCCATCGACCCAAACCCACCCGCCGCACCGACTGCGAGCAAACCCATCGCTGACACGATATATCCAGAGCTAGCCACGCTGCAGCGGTTACGCCTCCTTGTACCTGCCTCGTCGGCAGCGGGCGTAGACGGCGCAGAGAAGTGGTGTCTTAATGCGAGCGTGGCGGTTAGTTCTAACTCTACGGGCCCGAGCGAGTGGATTGCGGACATGGCGAGGGAGATTGGGGTTGAGGTTGGAGAGTATTTGGCTGGAGGGCTAGATTGAATAGGGAGGGGAGTAGTAGAGGGGGGTATGAATTGAATTCCATTTTGGGTGATATATAATTTGGGGGCGTTTATTGGGACCATGCCATACATACATGGACGGCAGGATTAGGTGCATTTGCGTCAAAAGGTAGTCGTTCTTACTTTTCTTCCCACCTCTATACCTCAGTATTCTATTGAACAACTTGCCAACATATATTTATACAATATATACAAATAGACAGGATATTCCGATATGTTTTATTATACCCATGAAGCTCCAAGTTCCGCGGCTAGGGAAGTACTTTACGATCATCCAAATTCCTCACACAGCTCTTCAACATCCTCTACTTTCATCATGGATGAAATTGAATTGCATTACATTAGTTATTCACTGTTTTCTGTCCTAAAAAGCCCAGATACCTCCGTTTCCCTTCCCTGGATGTTTAATGCATTTCACTTGGTAGCCTCCCCCGCCCTCTCCTCCTGTCCCCTTCACTCCCTAACAACCACTCCGTCGTATCCATTTGCTTATGGGCACCGCTTGCAAGCAGGCTATTGTTAAATCTCATATTAGTTTCCTGCATTTATGATGAAATGAAAATACTCCAGGATGGCTCAATTCTTACAGTATTAAATTTAACGGTAGCAAGACAGGCAAGGTCCAATAATGGGATATCTATTGTCGCGCAAAAAGATTTTTTAGCTCTACGATCCTCATGTCCACAAAAATGCGGGACGCTGAAATCTGTCAGGGGAAGGAAAATAAACGAAAGACGAAAAAAAAAAAAAAAAAAAAAAAAAAAAAAAAAAAAAAAACCATACTGAGATCCGCCATTGGCGGCAGCTAGAGCGCATATAGCATTGTAGCGGGCCAGCGATTTAATGCATGCTGTAACTACAGGCGGTTCCACATCCTATACTGTAATGTAATCAACCACCCAACGCCCGCGTACACCCAACGCCCACCCAATCTTCATTTTTTCATCTATCTTCAAACACTTACAACATGCATCATGAAGCAGTTATACAAGCAGCAATTGATGATTTGAATATATAATTGATTCCTAATTACACTGAGACTGTTAAAAAATATGAAATCAGTTAATATACATTATCACAGCAGTATAGAGATATTCAAATATTAAAAAAGAAAGAAAGCTCTATTCACTGTAAAAATCTCACAGATTTATAAGAAGAACAGCTTCTTTTTCATATTAATTAATTAATAGATTATAGTTTTTCTTATACATCTTAAATTCTTCATAATCTTATTATTAAGATTCTAAAAGTATCTATTAAAATTAACTGAGTATTATAATTCTATCAGTGTTATAAGAATATAATTAAGTTACTCTATCTTTGAAATATTAATTAAAAATGCAAAATTGTAGATAATTTAATATATTTTAAGTATTATTTTAATCTTATAATAGATTTCTTTCTTCTACTGATTTTTTACTTCTTATTAATTAATTTATAACTACAGACAAAAATTACTTAATATAATATTAAACTCATAAATATTTATAACTTTGATAAGAAAGAATTTCTATTAAAACTTATTTATACTCTTAAATATATTATATTAATTACTTCACTTAAATCAGACTATATAATAGATATCAGTTAAAATAATAGTTAAGAATTTATAATACTATTTATTTTAATTTATATAGATAAAACTTCACTTTTATCTACTCTTATATATTATAAAAAATTAAGAGATATATAAAATACTTAACTGAAGAATTTTAATAATAAAAAGAATCAGATCTACTTTACTACTTCGGTATATAAATGAAGTAATAATAAATATAAATTAATATAGTTAAAGAAGATTTTTGAATCTCTTATAAAAAAGAAAGTAAAATATAGATATAAACTTCTTATATTAAATAATTACTTCTTTTATATTAATATAATATTTATTAATTATACAGATTATTATTAAATTCTACTTATTATTTTTTTCTCTTATTTTATACACTGATTACAGTTACTAAATATTGAAATATTTAAATTATTAAGTAAATTATACTTCAATCAACTGAATAAATAGATAAGAACTGAAATAAAATTTATATACACTATAAAGAGATCTTTTTAACAGCTATTTAATACTGTATAAAAGAAAGTAGTTATATTTTTAAATATTATATCTATATTTACTACTACTAATTTATATTTATTTAATTCAGAATAAGTTTTTAAAAAGCTTGTAATACTGTCTTATATTCTCTTAGATATATAATATTAATCAAGAATCTCTACTTTCATTATTAATATATAAAAATTAATAAAGTAAGTTAAACTAGACTGACTGTGTAATTATGTCTGAGATTAGAATCAGATTCTTTAATAGTTTTATTATCAATTTAACTGATCTCATTACACAGTTTTAACATTAAATAGTAGTTTTATACTGTTTCAGTGAGACTTACTGTCTACTCTTATCATATTTTTCAAATGAGATTATGATTTTCACTTCTCAATTTAAATTATTTTTATTGCTTTAAATGACTTTAAATCTCATTTAAGTATTATCAAAAAGCATTACTTTTTAAAAAATTAAAAATAGTCTAAAAAAAACCTTAAAATGTCTAAAAATAGTAACTTTATACTAAGAATGAGACTAAATGAGATCAAATGAAATCACTTTCTCATTTTTTTTAAGTGATGGTTTCATTTTAAGATCTGATATATAGTTACTTTGCATGTTTTTTTAATAACTACTCTCAGCAGAATTCATATCAAGAAATGTATGAAATCAGATTAAATGAGATTAAATATGAAATTCATAATCTGTAAGAGTAAGTACTCGCAGACAATTATTCAGATGTTTGCAGCTTGGCGTGATATGTACTGCTAACTACTAGAAGTATTTATAATAGAAAGATAAAATGTAGAGATCAAATGTATAGTAGTATTCAAGCTGAGTTATGAATAGTATTCACAAACTTCAGTCTATATAGTTGTGTGTAGTCAAGAGCTGCTAATTCTATTAATTACATGAGAGATAGAAATAGAAATAAAGAATTCACAAGAAGTGAAATTTCTTATATACTTTTCCCTCTCTAAGACTTCATCTGTGAAGTCTTTCACTGAGTAATTTCATAGAATCAGCTGAGCACTGCAGTGATACTCACTAAAAATCCTTCACATTTATAAAAAATCTCAGTGAGAAAAAATCTCTTGTTACTATAAAGAGAAAAAAGTCTGTCACTTAGTTTCTTATTCTATAAGATTCTTTGTAATCTACAGATTCTTCTCTGACTATTACACAGATTTATCTCACATCTTTCATATAGAACAGTTCTGATTAACTCTCAATTATTTTTATAAGATTCTTATGTAATTATCACACAGATTCATCTTATAGATAAATCACTCTCTGTGAGATCACTCTTATCAAAGAGAAGTATTTACAGATTAATCTTTCACTTATTCTTATAAATCATTATTCTTTAACATTGTAGAATTGTGAGAAATTTTTCATTCTTTCATCAACTCTGTAAAATTATAGAATTAAGATGTCTGTGATCTGCAATCATTTTTTATAGTTATATAGAAAGATTCAGATCTGTAATTTATAATCACTCTTTATTTACTAGAGTAATCTGACTATTCTGCAGAATCATTCACAGTGTAAGTAAATCTTTCTAGAGTAGTATAAATATCTCAGATCTGTTCATGAAATCTTATCTTCTTTTTTCTTTTTCTATAACAGCTCTTATTCTTATAAACTGTGAGTATTCTCATTCATTTATAAAGTGTTTTTACTTAGATGATAGAGAGAGAGTGTTTCTGACAATATCTGTATATTAATTCAAGAACTTCTTAAGAATAAAATTTTTTTTAATTTCAATATTTTTATAAATAATATCTGATTACTGCTGAGCTTCTTATAAGTATCTCTGTAACTTCTCTAATCACTTTTTATTAGCTGATGAAGCAGAGATATCACTGTTTACAATAGTATCTTTATCTCTCTCAGTCTTATCACTGTATCTGATCTTCAGATCAGTAGTTAATTTCATATCTCTCTCAGATCAGTCTCTGACTTCAAGCAGTGCAGTCTCTCTCTTTACTGTAAGTCTTCTTATAAGTAATTTCTTACAGACTCTAGCTAACAGTTCTTGTAAAGCTCTCAGTATTATCAGTGTCTTCTACAGCTCTGCAGATCTATGATCACTCTCTCTCTATCTGCACAATCTCTGATCAGGCATATATAAATATGTCTAGGTTTTCTATTAATGATTCTCATACTGCAGTGCATTTCTGTAATCTCATTATTAATAAGAGATGAGTTTCTGAGTATCTGTAAAATCTGAGTAATCAAGACAATACAAATGTCATAAATTCATGATAAGAGTTAGTCTGAGCAGATGACCTCTCTCTTTATATTTCAATTATTTTCAGACTGAATACTTCAGTATAACTGAAGAAGTGAACACAGCTTTGTAAAAAGTATCTGATCACACATATAAACAGTCAGTTCTCAAGACTCTGTTATAATTATATATACTCTAGTATTCAGCTTCTCTGAAGTCTGTGCATTTCTGACAGTCTTTATATCAAATGTAACAATTATCTGTACTGTAGATATAATACTCTCTGCTTCTTTAAAGAAGAAATTAATAGTTGTGAAGAAATTAAGTATCACAGATATTAAAAATATAAGTGTGAGTTTTCTTTGTTTTTTCTTTATTAGTCTTTAAATTGTGTTCACAGCTCTGTTTCTGTTTTCTTGTTTTTTTTTTTTTTTTTTTTTTTAGCTTTAATAAGAACATGATTTCTTCTTCTCTTTATATATACTGTGAACTGTTCATCTCAGTAGAAACTCATCATCTTGTAAACTAGAATTTGTAAATGACAGTGTTAATATCTTTATTACAATCAGATTCTTAGCAAAGACTGTATTATTCTGACTTATCAGAATTCATAGTATGAAAGTCATGTCTCAGCTTCTGTAGATGTCTTATCTACTCAGATGATTTTTAAGTGAACTCATTTATCTTATCAGAATACTCTTATCACTGAATCTTGAATCAGAGCTCATAATCTCACTTCTCTGAGTTAATAATCTCTTTAATCTGATATTCTCTTTCACTCTCTAGTGCTTCATAGACAGAGTGATGAGCTACAGAGTTCTCTTCTAAGAATTTCTTATATTCACAGAGTAAAGAAACATGAAAAACATTGTATATCTGTAACTTAGATAATAGTTTCAATCTATAGAACTATAAGCTAACTTTCTTCACAATCTTATAAGACTCTGTTCATAAGAGATTCAGCTTCTTACTAGATCTTTATATAATGATGTTTTCTAAACTCAGTCAGACTCTATCATCTTTCTCAAAACTCTTTATAATATGCTTGAAGTCATAGTATCTCTTCTGATACTCTTGAGTATTTCTCAAGAATTTACAGACTTTCTTTTGAATCTTCTGAAATCTCTTAACTTATTCACAGATATTATCACACTCTATAGTATACTCTCACAGGTTTATCAAGATTATCTGTAAATGAGTCTCAGTGAGTATCTCAAAGAGGGTTTTATCTGTGCTGACATACTTTGAGTTATTGTATATAAACTCTGTAAGTGATAATCAATACACTCAGTTATTCTGATTATAATTGACAAAGCACTGCAGATACTATTTTAATATACTTATCAGATATTCTATCTGATCATCTGTCTGTTGATAACAAGCTGTACTTAGATTTCATAAGATCTTCAGTATAGTTATCAGATTAGATCAGAACTTCTCTGCAAAGATTAATTCTCTGTCTAAGATAATATTCACAGATAATTCATACA